ATTTTCCTCTCTGTGCAATACGTTTATTGAAATGCTGGTTTGGAGGAGGGTGACGACCTGGTAACTATATGACTTCGTTTCTGGACTTCGAGGTTTCTCTGCTGGTTTTTCCTCTCTTTGTGATTCAGTGCTTGCATGCATGGTTGATATTTGAATCTAATTTTCAAACGAAATCACAGTTACTGAGGCGACCACAACTTGGTTTCTCCACAAATATTGCTTTCCTCCATGGCATACCCTCCAATTTGTTGTAACAATAAAAAAGCTGTGATTTTTCTGTCGCATTCCTTATCCGAGTCAGGTGCAAGTCCTTATAAGTTTGCAGCAAGTCTTTAATCAGAAGCGGACTTTTGGTCTACATCTTAGGTTATAAATACCCTAGGAAGAAAAATACTACCTTCGGTCCTTAATATAAGATCTCGTTTGATTTTTATTTTGGTCCTAAATATATGACCCCAATCCACTTTGTCTCTCATATTTATGTATTTTTTCTCAAAGAAGTCCTTCTAATAATGATAACTTTAGCCAATACGCTTGATTAGCAGGTGTATTTTAGAAAGGACAACACATATTCATTACAAATAACTAACTTAACTTATTTCCTTAATCTTCTCAAATTAGTCAACTAGCTCTTATAATTAGGACTGGAGGTAGTAGAATCCAATTTCCACATCTTTCTTTTTTAATCTAATTGGCAGGTTTATATTTTCACCTCTCTGGCATTTTCATGGTGTTGTGGCTCGAGGTCGCTTTGCCCTGCCTCCTCCTTCAATGCCTCATGAACGCCATGTATGAGCATATAGTTAAAAAGCGTAATCTTCATTGTGAATTGATTAAATTCTTGCAAAGTTGGAAATGGCTTTTTAATAGGATTTCGAAGTAAAACAAATTTTTGGACAGTAGGCTCCTTGTCATGCCATCCCGGCAACTCCAATTGCTTGTTGCTTTTGAGCTACTTCTTTGTGTACATCTTGAGAGCTCTTATGGTAGGAAACACTTCTTGTGGAATAACCATCTTGGATCTTATTGATGATGAATTGCAGCTTCTCTTTTAAAATTTGCTGATTTTTTTAATGCCTTTGATTTATAATTTTTTTCATTGAAATGATGCAGCGGTCAATTTAAAGATAGTTTTTTTTCTTTTTAACCCCTGTTGGCTTTTGAAGTGGCTATTGTGATTGATAACTCCAGATAATTATCATATCCCATCTGCGAGTTTATCAAGACTGCCTACTCTCTTAGTCTTTGCATATTGTTCAACTGGTTCTGATTCCTCCATCTGCTGTCGAAACAGCAAGAGCTTCCATGAAAGAATTGAACTACAAATCATCACATCTGCACAATTTTTATTAAATGATTGATTAAATAGTGTGCTGTATGCTTTTAACAAATCATTTTCTTACTTGGGAAGTGTTATTATAACTTCACAATAAAAGGAGGTTATAATAATCGCTCTGATTAGTTCAGCCCAATGTTCATCAATTATGTTAGTTGCAAGTGCAATTATACTAGTTTTATGCCTTTCAATCTGCTAAGTACTTGCTTTAGTATTAACTAATAAATATATCTTTCCATAGGATGTGCAGGACTTTACTGCCAGTAGATGATGAAAATATGAATAATAAAGAAATATGGGAAATCCTTCCTGTGAGCAGATCATCATTTATTTTGATTAATTAATTGATTGATGAGTTGATCTAAGTAATAGGTATCTATTGCTTGCTCTGGATTTCATATGCTACTTTCTTCAAGGGATTGTTGGTACTTGGTGTTAAAGATCTTTGGTTCCCTTCTTAATGGTTGATATTACCTTACCTTTTTCTCTTGGGACAAAATATAAGCTACAAGGCTTACAGATCATATTTTTAAAATAATGAACTCAATAGAGTATGCGATCTCGTCACCTTGAAACTAAATTAGTAAACTTTGAACTTTTGTTTTCTAGCACATCTGGGTTACAATATCCATGGTCTTGCTTATTGCTGCTACAGTGTCCACTCTTCTTTAAATATGTGGTTAGTTTTTATGTCTGTTCATATTGTTCCCTGGAGATGCACGATAGATCACCAATGAATTGCAGCTTTAAAGCTTACATTGCTCTCCTTCCTCCGAAAAAAACTCAAAAAAGATCTTTTTCATGGCATATCTGGATATGTTGGTTGTTTTATTTTCCCTAAAGCTTTTGGTGGCCTCTCTATATCTGGCAACTATGATGCATGTTTGGGAGAATAAATAACCGCACTTGTTAAATTGTAACAATTTCTCTGGCGTCATGATTGGGAGAAATTAAGAGTTCTGTGTTGCTCTTTGCTGTTCTGCACATTAAAAATATGCCGAGTTCATCTTAGAGATTGAGGAGATATTGAAAGTATGTGTTTTAACTGAAATTATTTCATTAATAATGGGGAAAATAATAAAGAGTGTATTAGCTGTGATGAACCAGACCAAAGGAATTAAATACTGTTGGTATTACGCAGTAAAGAGAGAGATAGCACGTGTGTATTGTATTCACTAACTGGCCCAGATATTACAACTAAGGAGTATTTATAAGCTAATCCCTTTACTAACCACTAATCAGTTGTACAGTTGGAGTGCTTATTCTAACACATGTTACAATTATTAACTAAGACACAACTTGACTCATATCAGTTGGCCATTGAAAAATTAATAATCATTATATTGAACATCGACAAATTGTGCTCCACTTAAGTGGTGATTGAGCCTGGGGTTAAGTCTGATTAAGCCAAAACCGTTCAGTGTTTTGAGTTCACTTCCGTATGCTGCTAGAACTCTGACAAACATTCATAACAATTTTTTTGATCTTGTTGCAGCTAACTTGCCCTCCATGATCCGCAGGTGATGTTGCTACTCTACGCTAGTGGGACTTATTTGTTAACTTTGGGTATAGTATACATATGTGATAAGACTGATGGTATCTGGATTTCAGTGTTCTATCTGACGCCTTTATAAATTGCTTTTTTTCCTTTTTCAGTATTGGAGAGTGCTTTGCATTTCTTACTTCTACAAAGTGGTACAATCCAAGAATTCATGGGAATGGTGAGATTACTGAATCATCACCATTGTTTATAAGATACCAGAACTGGGGTAGCAGTTAAGATGGTCAGCAAAGCAGGTTCTGCATTCAGCAGAACATTGGTGGGCACATTATAAAGATTCCTTTCATTGGTTTCCAAATACTGCTAATTATGCATTTAGAGGTATGATGGAAAATAAAAATCTTTTCAAGAGTTTTTCTTTCCTCATTTCGTGTCCTTTCCGTTTTTAAGGGAAATCCTGCCATTGCCAGAAATATACCATTTCTGACTGTTTTTTCTCCCCTTTTTCTGTTGCAAGGAGCTGGTGTTTTATTTGCTGCTTATAGATTAGTGGAAAAACTAGTACTTTTACTTCACAGTGGAGAAACTTCTCCAAGATACTCAGCTATTGCGTCAAGAGCCCACGATTGCTTTGGTTTCTTGGATCATGGGTCAAGGTAATAATATAATGCCTATTGGATACTCTGGCAAAACAAAAATTATTGGATGCATAAAATGAATATCTTCAGCAGGTTTTCTTCCGAGACAAAACAAACTTCATGTAATGTACAGTTGCCATGTATATTTTGTCATACTTACATTTCCCCATGTCATCATTCATCAGCACTTTTGTCAAAGATCATCAATCTTCCAATTCGTTCATCAGTTGAAACCAGCTTGAATGCGTGTGCTTTATCTATTAATTCATTTATGTTTTGGGTGGTTATCTCTGGCATTGTGTGGGCCTGTGCCTGAGTAATTGCTCTTGTCTTCCTCACAATGTGGTGCAAATGCTGCAACGAAAAGCTGTCATTTTGGCCTCATTATTTTATGGCAAATGTCCACAAAAATTATTGCAGTTGTTTTCTCAAGGAATCTGGCATCTCACAGAGATTCTTTCGTGGCCAAGGGTACCCCACAAAGTTATTGGAGGCCTACCTATTGTATAAACAAGTAGACCTGTGATTTGGAAAACCTTGTCCGATATGGCTGATGTATGCTAGGCCTCCCTTTTGGCAATTTATAGTTGTGTATAAATTTATGCACTCATTTATTCTTATTATTATTGGGAACCATTCCTCCCTCCCCCCCCCCAAAATCGTGCTTGGAAGATGGTAAAGGGACAATTATCTTAATGTTGATTAATCTATCACACTGTTAACGGAGTAACTGATTAATCTATCGGGAAAAGATCCTATGCAGAGTTTGCTTTGAAGAGCAGATAAATGTGGCTCTGCTTCCTTGCAGGTGACTCCTGTTGTTGATTCAATCTTCCCTAGGACCATAGTGAGAAATTCTTGGAAAGATCAAGCTAATCATGAACCCAAAAAAAAAAAAAAAAGTACCGTGCTCAATTATTAGGAAGACCTACATTTGGCAAATGACAAACACGTTTTTGCATAATTAGCATACTTTACTAATCTTTGATAGATTAGGAGTTGAAAAAATTTGACCATACTGTGTTTGTTTGAAGAAACTTACCATGTCTTCTTCTGAAATGATATGTCAAGATTTAAAATAGAAGCTAGAAGATAAAGTTGCATTATATAAGTTAACAAATATGTCATCTTTTAACAAGTAAAATTTCCAGCTGCTACCTTCCTTTTCGAGAATGATTTTCATTTTTCTTTTTTTTACTTGACAAGCATTCCATAATCATCTTATCAATTATCATTACCCCTGTTATGACCATTCCATTGTATAATTCCGGAAAGTTGGGTGAATAGGCAATCAACTCCACTCCCCTCCCCTCCCCTCCCCTCCCCTCCCTCCCTGTATAGTGTAATCCTGCGATCACTTACAGAATCAGACTGGATGATATATTATCTCTCTCTTCGTTGCTAATTGGTTCACTGTCTTTATGGCTCCCATGCAAGGCTATTTTGTCTGCTTCAGATCCCATGGTCCAAACCTGAACATTCGATGATATATATAGATATATATATATATATATATACACTGATATTCATTGGCAAAAAAGGAAAAAGATAGTGATATTCTGGTACGTAGATCAGCTCCAGTACAGTACGAATATACAGCAGCTGTCGGTGACATGTTATTACGAATTTATTGGGCTTACTGCAGGATATATAAGACACCAAGTCCATACATACGTAACATAGTCTTATTAATAACATAAAGTAGTAAAGATAGCTGTGCTTCTGATGAATTTGTGGCTCCTGCAAGATCTAATTAAGGCCATAATCAGATCATGAGCGAGGCCGGCTCCGACTTCTCTCCGAATGAATCTTGTCTGGGATCATCCGGGCGAAATCGTCGTAGCAATCCTCCAAGCTCCTGAAAGTCTCATCAGGGTAGAGATTTCCAATGTCGACGTCGTGAGGTCCCTCTGTGGGGAAGTTCAGTTGACAACCTTTGATGAAGATGTCATGGGTGAAGGATGCTACGACACTCCTGGGGATACGATTCTCTGCAGAGTTGCACATCAAAAAAAGTAATACAAGAAACGTTAGAATGAAACGACATATGTTGCAGCGTCTGCTTTTTGTACTGTGTTTCATATGAGCTCGCCTCATGTTGTCTTTAGATTTTTTTGGTTCTGAGCTCTCCTAGTAACTAATAATGAAGTGAAGATGAAAGTGCTTGATGTTGTTGAGAAACTAAACGAACCTGCAGCAACAGCAAGAAGATCATCTTCAGAGACTGTGACTCTGGGGATTTTACGTCCAACTTTAGATTCCCACAAAGAAGCAAGCTCGTTGGTGCAATAGAAATTGTTTGGTGGTCGAAAATGGACATTCTTGTTCAGGGTTCTGACATCATCGGCGGCCTTAATGCTGAATTTTCCAATATCCGCTCCATCAACAAAGTAAGCTGTCCATGTATAAGCAAACCAAGCTCTTCACAATCTAGCGGTTGTTAATCTTCTTTGGTTTTTTTTTTTTTTAAGGCATAAGGAAAAGCCTTTTAATCTTTAATATGGTTTTGAAAAACATTATCTTTAGAGGAATCCAAGGATTAAAGTGAAGGGTCCCCATCATCGTTATAATTTTAACTTATTATAATTTTGGTTAAAATTTAATTTCTCCTAATTTGTAAATCGATAAATCATTTGGTCTATTATGCCAGAATTTAGATAAAACTAGGTGCTCCACAACGTCATTATGATTCATTCAGACAGAATAATAATGAAAGCTTGGTGGGCCTATGGGTGGTTTGATCCTTAATAAAAATGTCATAGTATAAAAAGAAAACTTGTTGTATTTGTGTATATATCTAAGGAGAAAATACAATTAAAAAAAAGTAGTGGGGAGCAACAATAATTAGGATATTCCATCTTATAGTATAATTCTCCCCTTCTTGATGATTTATAGCAATTTAGACCTAACATTTTTTTTTTTAATCGCAATTCACACTCATTCTATCTTAACTTTACATTTAAAAAAATCTTACAAAAAGTGTTTGATGTCATTTCGGTAACAAGGACTTGATGATTTAAAATTTCAATTTGTGTCTATATAAATATAGTAAAATTAAGCGGGAAGATTAGCCACGAGGCACTTCCTTAAAATAAAGTTGAGAATTGGAACTTGAAATTAGAAAGAAAAAAGTTCGACTGCAAAGTTATCTCTGATTAAATTGGATAATATTAAATATTAAATAATTTCAAAAACACGCTAGGAAAAGTGTACTTTAATCTTTTTACAGTTTAACAAAGGGACAACGACAAAAAAAAAAAGCTGGAATTTTGTAAATGCCAATGTCAACAAAAATTTGTTGTCATTTGAAAATTTAAACTTGTCAATACCAAATAAAGTTATGTTATCAAATCTGATTTAGGATTTGTAATTTTTAGTTTTTTTTTATCATTCTCTCTTTAACGAATTGTCTGGTTATAAAAAAAAAAAAAATTCTCTTGCATGTGATTTTCTCTCTGTTCAATCATAGAACAAGGGTCAGATTGAGTTACCTTTGACGGTGCCATCACCGTAGATGTGCAAAAGATCCAACGGTGGCGGGTGATTGGCAGGATGACAGTTATCGTAATATGGCCATGAGGCAATAGAATTGCAGCAAATGTAAGTGTACGGGATTCCTGCCTGTTCCACCATCCTCCTCACCTTCCGCTTCTGTTCATACATTTGGAGCCCCGGTTCCACCGGATCCGCCCGGTCCACGTCATGCCCAAACTCCGAGGGCAAAAATCTCTGCAACCCCAATTTCAATTTCATATTTAAAAAAATAAAAATCCCTCTTGTTATTTTTATTTATAAAATAATTTATCATCGTAATTATCTCCATCATTTTTTCATTATCTACATAAATAAATTTTCTTAAATATTAAAAAAAATTTTGCCAGCGTTCTTAAATATTAAAATATTTGTTATTATTTAATATTTAAACTGTTTCAGATGTATTTAATGAAAAATTCAAAAATATTTAAAATTATTTTGTTTAATAATTTATTGTTATTCTCCATTATACCATTAAAAATTTAACTTATTTAATGGTATAATGTTAATATGATTATCTCATTGTAATATTTAATTTAATTTTAAACATGATACATTTTGACATAGGATAAAAATATTTTAGTCACTTAAATATTTACTTATTTTTTTTATTTTTGTTTTTTCTTGTCCATCCAAATAGGAAGAGTGTTCACGTTTTCCTTCTGATTTTCTCGTTTCTTGATTTTCTTTTCTTTTATTATCTTTCGTCCCAATCTTTCTTTCTTTTTTTTTGATACAATCCCAATCTTTCTTTCTATCCATACATAAATTGTCAAATCTGAGAAAAGGACATTTCCCCAAATCGAAATGTCGTTTTGGAGCCCAAAACCGAAAAAAAAAACACACACACACACACACGCACCCCCATGTCATGCCGTTTTCAGATGGAACTGCTCAATGTTTCTTATTCGTAACTTGTTTATCTTATTTAATTTCCGCTGTCTTTTTCACATTAAATAAAAGAAAAGAACAGAAAGGCGTGCAAGTCAGTTACGTTTCAGAGACGCTGGATGAAGTGCTTCGAACATTTGTCCTCCCTCTCTACCGTTCTATCCTCCCAACGGTTATAATTGTATTAAAAAAATTTATTTTTTAATTTAAATTTAAAAAGGCCAAAAAAAAAAGGAAAAGGAAAGAAAAGAGAGATTTTTTTTTTTGGTCCAAGGAAAGAAAAGAGAGATTAAGATAATACCTTAATAGTTTTGACAGATTTGATGGCCTCCACAAGGCTGAGCTGATCAAGAATAGCCGCGCCTCCGACCACCGATATGACAATCTCTATTTCATTCTCTTTCAATATCTTCTCCATCACTTCCTTCTCTTTAATCGATCCCTATATCAATAATATCAACCCAAATTTTGAACATTATTTCTGCTATTTCATTTTTTATTTTAATTATTAATTATTTGTATATTAAATAAATTTTAACAGAAAACAAAAAGTGTGGAATATTTTACTCACATGAACGATGGTGGCCCCTTTCTTATGGAAGGCTTTCACGAGGTCGGCCTTGGGAGGGACGAGGGGTTCCTCACGTACGAGCAGAAAGGTGGGGTGGCCGGCGCCAAGGCTGGCCTCCGCTAAGAACTGACCGATGAAACCCGTCGCGCCGACAATGAGCACCCGCCTGGTTGTGGCGGCGACGGCGGCGGCAGTAGGGGAGTGGCTGGTGGCACCGTCATCTCCAACCTCGTACTTTGCTTTGCTTGATTTACAGATATATTTTTAATTTTTTTTAAGGCGTGAGGCTGGTGCGGCTGGGAGCAAAATTATGAGGAAGATTGTCGTTTATATAGGGCTCGAGACCCCGAACGACAAGTTTCAGCTACTCTTCAACTTCGCACGTGCCAAATTCTAACTCTTTTTTTAATTATTGATTTATTTTCAAAAGGTTTAATAATGAACCGCATTTAATATTTTTATATTTTTAATACTCTATCTGATCCGTAATACCCCTCTACTCATATTTATAAGCCATTTTAACATGTTTTATTTAAAATTTAATAATTTTTTAATTTTATTCCTAATTAATATACATTATACCTCATAAAAAATAAAATCAATACAATAATAAATTAAAAATAAAATTATTATGAAAAAATTTTCTGACAACAAATTTTCTTCTCTCTCTATCATATAAATAGATTAGAGGAGTATAAGAAGTTTGTTAATTTTTCTCACATACCAACTTAAATTTACTCATGATAAAAATTTCTTACTTTACCCTGGAAAAAATGATAGCGTTGCATTTAGTATTACACTTTTGTTCTCTCTCATCTCTCTCTTATATTTAACGGGTTAAAGTGAAAAAAGTTATACTAATTATTTTGACAATATTTTATATTTTGAATTACAATTTTCTTCTAAGTATAGGCATGTCCTTTTTTTGGGGCGAGGAATGCACTTAATTTTTTTATTTTTATTATTATTATTATTATTATTATTATTATTATTATTTTGCATTATGACAATTTCATCGTATGTGAGATGTGAGCGTCACGTGGCTTTTTGAAAATTTTAAAAATTAATGAATAAAAGGGTACAGGTAAAAGTAGCAAGGAGTTTATTGTCTTGTCTCCAAATTAAAGAGCCGCGTAAATTGAAACAACTCATTTAAGGCAAAGATTATTTGTAAATAAATGAATTGAGTGAATTTTATGGTGATAAATTATCCTAACCACTATTTTTTTTATACCACCAAAAAATCTTAACCACTAGTTCATCGAGGGAAAAAAAGATTTCCCCAGAATATTTCTTTTCCAAAAACTCCCCTAAATTTTAAACTATATGTAAATAGCCCCAAAAAACTTCCGTAGATTTGCAATTTGCACAGATAACTCCCATGCTGCCAATTATTTCATATTTCATTGACGGACTATTTGTATCTGGAAAAAATATTTCATTAACGGACTATAGTGTGTGTTACTCTCCTCAAACTTTAAATTATATGTATACAACTCTTCTAAATTTTAAATCACGCCAAAGAAACCCCGATGATATTATGCCCTTTAAATAAATAAAATAGATAAACCCATGATAAAAGAATTATTTACATAAATATAAAAAGTAACAGAATTTACCGTAAACACTTTTATGCATGTAACTCAAAATTGATGTTATGTACTCCTTCCGTGATTAGTTGAATTATGAACTAAATCTTATATTAAAAGTTGAAAATTGTTTAATTTATAAATTCTAAACTAATAACTTCCTTTTAAGATACATCCCTCTATTTCTTATTATAAGAGATAATTATGGATTAGCATATTCATTTTTATAAAAAAAAACATTTAGAAATTGTCTCAATTTTTATTTGTTGATTTCTCATGTCTCCCCTATTAAATTGCTCACATTACTTATATTATTAAAATTTATTTGCCACATATTCTCTCTACAACATATATTCTTTTTTCCACATAAATAAGGCTATTTTTACATATTTATTATTTTTAACTAATTTTAACCAACATTTCAGATAACATAATTTAGTTAATTACTCCTTTTAGTCCTTATTATACCCTTTAAATAACTAATTCACGAATAGCGAATAATTAGTTAAAAGAAATAAATCAGTTAGAAATATAATTTTGTTGTCAAATATACTCTTATAATAAATTAGAAAAAGGATGAAAGATAATGAATGGTGAAATATGATAGGAGAGTATGACATGTGAGAGAGAATAAATAATTAAAGGTAAAATTAAAAAAAAATAAATATTAAGACAAATTCAAATTGAAACTTATAAAATGAACCACACCTCTCTCTAAATTTAAAGTTTATATATAGAATAAGAGGGATTATTTTTTATAAAAAGGAAAGGATAGATTAATAAACTTTTTAGGGAGAGGTGCTTTGAATTCTAAGCAAGGCAAGGAACGTAATTATTAAAAAGTGTCAATAATAACACAGCAAATAACAAGTTCTATGGTAACAAATGATAATTGCTTATTTATTATGGGGATTTCCTAGTAACTATTTTTTTTATTAGGACCTCATTGTAATTCTCTTAATTTCTCATTTGTCTTTTTTGCCAGCTCCTAATTTCTTATCACTCCACTCATTTATAGTCATTAAATGAAAATTAAGGATCATTAATAATTATTTTGAAGCGTGGCTGTCACATGGTCACTCGGCTTTTTAGATTGACTGGCAGTTGGGAACTATATATGGGGAATAATATTTTCATCCTTTTAATAAATTATAATTATAAACAATCGAACTATGTGTAGCAAAAAAATCAAGCTCCTATATAAATTAAGTAGTGGGTTAATATGAGCTAAAGAGAATAAATACATAAGAGTTGTGTTTTTTAAAGTATACCTTTATTTGATGAAGAAGTAGAGTAAGAGAAAATAATAAACAAATATGAGAAAGAATAAATAAATAATAATAAGACAATGTTTACATCAAGTTATTTATATTTATTAAGTAAACCTTTTCAATTAGGCATAGTGATGTGTTATATTTTTAAAATATTATCATTTTATTACAAATTAACACGGAAAAAATAGTATTTGACATAATAAATATAAAAAAATTTAATTTAATTATTTTTTGAAATAACGAGATGAACATATAATGGAGGTAAAAATAAAAAAATAAAAAAATAAATTTTAAACATATAAGAAAACAATTTAATTAGAAAATTGCAATTTCTAGAGAGAATGAGGGAGAGAGATTCAATAGTGTAAGCGTTAATCAATAATTCGGAGGGGGGAAACGAAGATGGCCACATAAAGGTATTGACCTTTCCGAGATATTTTTTCCCTGAGCCCCCTTATCCTGAGGTCTACGTGTCACCAAACCAACCTAAAAGGAAATTTAAAAAAATTATGATAAAAAGTGTGGGATATATTTTTTAGGAATATTAATAATATGATAATTAAGAAAAATCGGCCGTAGCATAACTCCTTTAATAGCGATTTCGATGTGAGATTGGCGTTGCGTCTCTTGCCAAAGAAAACGTAATATTAAATTATTACTATGATAATTAATTCCACAAATGTTACAAACTTCCAGATGAATGAATCCGCTGTGAATAGCGTAAATTGAGCCTAATGCTATACAAAAATTGCAATTTAATAAATTGAGGACAAAAATACAACTTCACTCCTCCAATTTTGCATAATTCTTATTTTCATAACTAAGATTCTATTTTTACAAATTCTGTGAGGAAATAAACTATTGTCCATAATCATCAACATCAAGTACGGCTTAATAATTCTTGATAAATGCACTCCCACATATTAGGAATATAATATATATTCGTCAAGAATATCCTTTGAGGTTAATTAATTTCCAATAAAGATTATTAAAAAACGAATCTTACGTTTTCCAAGGTTCGTTCTTCAGTCTCCATCATGTTATGTTTTATTGGATTCAGCTCCCTTTTTAATTAGTGGATTAGAATTAAAAAATAATGATAAAAAAAATGTCACTGATCGTTTGGGGGGAATGTCCTCCGCAAATACAGCATGATCATGAGGAATAAATGATACTCCTCCGATCCTAATTATAAGACCCAATTGACTTATTTGAGAAGATTAAGGAAGTAAGTTAAGTTGGTTATTTATAATAAATAAGTGTTGTCATTCCTAAAATATCCTTGCTAATTAAGTATATTGGCTAAAACTATCATTATTAGAAGGATTATCTTGGAAAAAAATGCATAAATATAAGAGACAAAATGGATTGGGTCTTATAATTAGGACCAAATAAAAAGTCAAATTGGATCTTATAATAAAGACCGGAGGAGTATATAAATCTTAAACTTAATTGTTAAGTCTCCGAGGTTTGGTTTTCATGTGATCCACTTGCATTGCTTATACTATTTTGATTGTATAAGTTATTTCCAACCTGTTTAATACAGATTTAGAAAAATCTTAAAATTTATTAACTCTTGTTTAAAATTTAATAATTTTTTAACTTTATCTGTATGTTTAATATATGTTTTATGTAAACAAAATTAACATAATAATAAATAAAAGATAAAATTGTATATCTATACAAAAAAATTTCTCAGTACTCTATAAATAGAGTTAGAAAATATCTTCTCTCTCGGCCCTATAAATAGGATCAAAAGAGTATATAATATACTCGTATTTGTTTAATTAATATTTTTATGGTACTTATAATTTTACATTTAAAGTTGGTGGATGTTGACATATATCAGACAAAACAAATCCCTGAACCACAACTTCACGCTAATTCCTCGCAAATATTCAATTTTTTTGTAAGCTGGTTTCTCAAATAAAATAGTTATTTTTAATACAGTGAGATAAAATTAGGGATGAATTCTATTCTATAATTTTTTATGAAAAATATTATTAGCTGAATTAAAATAGGCTAAAGAACTCATCTTTTTCAACCTTTTAAAAATCATTCACTTATCTAGCTCTTGTATTGAGCACCGGGGTAGTAAAAATTAAAAATTAAAATATTAACTATTGGGATTAGGTGTAATAGAAGAAACTACTTTTTCACTGCATAATATGGTTAAGAGAGTATCTATAAAGAAAATTTAGAGAAAATTAATAAATATAAAAAATGAGTCTTATATTTAGAACCATAACCAACTCAATAATTAGATTTTATATTAAGGACAGGAGAAGTACATATCTTGTGGTTAGAATTCAGGCCTCACGTTGTAACGAGGGGCTAGCCCATTTCTTGGATCCAATTTTTGTCATGTCGGTTCTTAAACATTATATTTGGGCATTTAATC